ACCTTAGTGATTAAAAAGGATGTAAAAACAAAAGTTTTATTAAAACTAGGCAGCTGTTCACACGCTCACCATGAATATCAAACATTAAGAAAGCCAGTCCTGGCTCATGAAATGGGCTCACATTATTTATAAAATAACGCTATTTAAAAATAGATGAACGTGTTTTTATTTGGTAGAGTGGTTTATAATTTAATTCCGATACTTATGCTAACTAAACAAAGTGAAAAAAAAGAGGAAAAAGTTGCTCTAATAACGTCCGCCTCTCAGGAACGTGTATAAAAATTCTTGGGCCCACTGATAATTTAAAAACGAGCTACTCGTTTGTCATGAAGAGAGTTGTTGCGCAAAAAATACTACGCACCGTCAGCAGATTGTTTTAATTTATCCGTAGTGCTACCCAGTAAACTCCACATCGAACCCGCAAACAGGTGAAGCGTAGGACATGGTGGGGCGTACACGCATTATCTGTAAGCACCTTTTATTTGACAATTTCATGCTCTTCACCCACAATATCGGATAAAAATTCTATTGATGTCTTGACAATCGTTTCTACATTAGCGCCATGTTTGTCGCCTAGATACTTTGATGTTGTTGACGGCCCCACTGGAGTATTTCTAGGCGTCGTCATAATCTGGAGATAGAGATGGATATAGCGAGTTCGCCAAAATAAGAGGAAAAGCGCAACTGTCTACACCGGTTTTATGCCTTTTTATTTGGCAAAAGCTAGCAAGTGTTTTAAATGTCTCCGTTAATGATAATTTAGTAACTCGGGGCTTTTTTGACGACTACATGGGTTACTGTGTTAACGGTCTAAAGTGCGATGCGCATGTGTAAGTTCGCAGGGGTTGGGCTATCATTTACGTATAGCGCGACGATCCATGGGGTCAGAAGAGGCTCATATGGTAGCCCGCGGCAGGCGTGCGTAGCTGTGAAAGCGTAGTACCAGAAAGAGTTAATGACAACATTATACTATTTTCCAAATAATTACATTAGCGGAGTAAGGATATTTTTGTTGCTTTTCTATATACGCATTAAGACAACATGCTCCTAAAGAACAAGAGTTTCCGACCCCCTGTCCCAATTTTTTGGGCTTAACCTGAAACATAACCTATACTCTGCGTAAAAGTTTTAGTAGCCAGTAATATCTTTTTTTTAATACCGCCGAGTGGTAGGTAGTTTTTAATAGGTGCAGATGCACCTGGATACCAAGACCTTGCTTTTATTATTAGCATTCGATCCATGTGCAATTATTACGTTTCAGTTCCATATATGGTAACCTTCATGCTTTTGTCATGTAAATTAGTTGTAATTGGGTTGTTATTTTCATAATTGCTTGCAATATTCACAGGGGATATGAATCACCTATAACATTGTGAAGAGAAACATTCCAAGCATTGGTTCAGCAAGATAATTTTGTCATGATTTTAAAGCTTTTAACATGATAAAGCAGGTTCACTGAAACTAATACATATTGATACATCCCTATTCTTTTCCCTAGTAAACATTTTTCAACGACCTGAACATTTTCGAAACTCTCATCTCAGAAGTCACTAAAAATCATCACTATTGTACGTTCAAGATAACAAGTACGATCTAGAAAACTTGTAATTAAATATGGGCTATGAATAGCGCTATTAATTCAAGATCTTGCAAGGGGCCTGCACTTACTCTTTCACGGAGCTCCAGCTCCAAAGTTAGTTCTTCTCTATGCCGAGATGATCCACTTTTCAGTACGCAGAATAGACCAATACCGGCGCTTTTTGGGTACCAGCTTTCTCAAAAGTCTTCTTAAACTCAGTGTTATTTTTTCTGGGAAAATAATTATGTTCCTGCCCAATTAAATACCTGTATTAATAATGATCAGCTCGGTTTATGCATAGTTTTGGAGACCCCTAGACTATAGGGCTGTAGGGGTCATAAAGTTTAAATATCATGCTGGGTCTTTAAGGCTAAAGCTGTAAGGCGTTAATAAATATATTTACACTCTATAAGAGATCTTGAAAAGTTTCTTGCCAGATTTTTCCCAAATTTTTTTCCACTTGTAATATTTCATGTATTTCACTGCCTTATAACTTTCCCTCAAACCTTAAACTTGCTGTTTGCATTTAAACTTATTATACTAGATAATTTTTTTTTATCTCCACCAATGAATTATTCCACACCCTGTAGGTTCGCTGACTCAGTCACTTCTGTATACAGGTTTATAGTTAGGGTGCATAATTCATTATATACGTTTTAATTCAGTCTCCAATTAGCAAAGAGCTCGTCGATACTTGTTATATTCTTTGTAGGTTAGCGCGTCCCTTCTTTTTAATTTTGGATAATATCTTACTCTTAAATTTAATATTACTTTGTTGAATTTATAAATACTATTGTTACTTATACTTTTATATATTTTTTTGGTTAAATATTTTTTTTGTAACCTTAACACACCTTTTTATCATCAAAGAACTAATTTTGTTAGTGACTGACCAATTCTACACTCTATTACTTATAGATGACATTACATAAACCTTGTCATTTAATATGCTAGTTGTCCCAGTGGGGAGTAAAAAACTTTCTGTACTACTATAAGTTGGGTAGTCCTTTTTTTTAAAAAAAAATGCTCTTGAGAATGTTTACTAATATATATATTTTTTGCTACTCACATAAAGGAAGTTGAAAAATCTAGTTAAACATATTTACCCAGCTTTCGGATTAATTATTAAATGAAACAGCAAACAAACTGTTTATTTACTTCTATAAATTCCCACCTAAATTTTTACATGAAAGTAGTCATTAAGGATTCTGCTTTTGTAGGTTATTGCTATTTATTTTATCAAAAAATTTTTCAAGTTGTTATTTTTTAAACTAGTGTAAGTAGACTGGCAGATTTGGGTTCACTAAATTTTTTACCAGAACTTCTTACAAGTGATAGTTCAAGTACTGTATCCTTCATCTCTGGATTAGACATAAACGTTATTAAACCTGTTCGACTTTCCTTAGGGAATTTTTAGTAGAGTTTTTCATTTTAAAATTTTCTAAATCCATCTTTCTGAAGCACATTATTTTTCACGCAAATCAATTTTTGTGTGTTCTTCTACACTTAAAAATATAAGTGGACTATTTAACGTAATCTTATTTATATTTTTCTAGTAAAAAGTTTTGTAAGAGTAATTAGTAGGACAGGATTTCAGTAAATTGACACTTTCGACAATCCAAACCTCTTCGTAGTACAAAATTTTGGTCTAGTGATTTTCCTTTATGTATAAAATTCTTATTTTATAGAGTAACAAAAAATCGTGTTTTTATTTCTCTTCTGCTTTTTTCGGCTTTGAACCAAAAGCTTGAAGTTTAAAAAAGGATTGGATGGTATACAGTAAATTTTTTTTTAGATTAAAATATTATAATAATTTTATTAAGCTCAAGAGGAAATTTGTAACAGCCCACACGTTAAGACACCATCGGGGCTGTGATATTCAAATAAATGAACAGTCTTGAACCACCAATAATATTATAGGCCTTCCTAGGCTCTGCGTCGCATCCTAAAGTCAAGTCACATATTTTTTTAAAGTCATGAACTTTAACATAAGCGGTTGTCTTATTCAAAGTTAAGAACAAGCAAATTTATTACTAATTTTATTACCCCGTCATACTCCACACATCTTTACAATTGCCCACTGCTTTAATGACACGCACGAAAATGAATGAAGGGGTTAGACGAGAGTTTAGGTTTTGTTTACTCTCCATACTTGAGTGTTACCGACCTTCTTGCGTTCTTTTGATTACTTAATTTTTTTTTTTTTGGAAATCATTAATTTTTGTCCAACAATATATAATATATAATATTATATTTTTTAAATTTATTAATACTCTTTTTTGATTTAAGACAGGAATGTTTCCTTTTCAATGCATTACACTTACTAACTATTGTTTAATAAAAGCATTCCGTAGTCCGAAATAAGCAATAACTATGGCCAATTACGATCTAATGTTAAGGGATCCATAACGCAACCTGTAATATTAATTTTAATGACTATCTGAATGCCATGCAAATGCAAATAGTGTGAAAAATAACTTAGTATTAATATCATGAATACATGGAAAAATAACTTTTATTTGATTTCAAAGAAGACTAGGCTGAGAAATTATTGGCCCCCCCTGTAGAACTAGGATTAAAATTGTTAATTAATCAAAAAGTGAATATGATGGCCCATTATCAGTGGAGGTTAAAAGACTCGACGTAAAATTTACAGTTTAAATGATTATTTCATAAACATACAAATCTTGTACATACGAGAGTGTGCTAAAAATTTCGCCTCGACTTAAGTCAGAAGGGGTCCTTTTTATAATTTTTAATAAAGTGGAAAAAGTAAATTACATTAAAAAAACTGAGATCTTTCTAGCTGTAGCTGTAAAATTACAACCAATCCTCTGGGAATTTTGAAAAATCTCTCAATAAGTTTCAAACATTTATGGAAAAATAACTTTGGGTGTCTTTTTACTACTTAAAACTGTAAAATTTAAGTTTAAAACCGACATGAGAATAAGTAGATTTTGACTTTGGGGTATTTTTTCTCTTTTATCACAACTATGTTTTAGGCTGGAGCTTATGTAAACAATGTTCCCTAAGAACTATAATTAGTAACTGTCATAAATTCTCAACACAATTCTTATTAGATGGTTTATTAAAAAAATTGCTTAGCGAATGGAAAAATAAATTTAAAAATTAAGAAATTAATGAGATTAAAAAAATTTTTCAAGTTAATAATACTATTAACATCAATATAACTTTTTATTGTTCAATAGAAAATTAAATACTTAGAAGAAAATGACAATAAATAGAAAAAAATAAAATTGAAAAAAAAAATATTAAAAAAAAGGATTAGTTAACACTGATTTATTAATGATGCCCAAAGTAAAAAGAATAACATTTAGGAAAAAATAATCGCATAAAATAGCAGACAACAGGTATATAAGGGAGCTTTCGGAGCATTCCACTTTGTTGTGCCTACAATGATTGCTTTTCTTCTAACTCTTCTTGCATTTGCAATTGTCTTTAAAGCGGAAGGGGCCCCTACCTATAACTCTTTTAATGAGAATGCGACGTAAATATCACTTTATCTTAACTCATTTCGAAGTAATATGTTAAGCAAGTGTTAAAATTGCTATAAAAGCACTTATATATATTTTTGTAACAGTATGGTATAGAAAATTAAATTTTATTAATTTAGACTTTTGATAACAATATCTAGATTGTTAAATTAAACTTTAGCTATCCATTTTTCAATTTTAACCTGTTTATTAATAAATTTATTTTCTGGAAAAAATTTGTAAAAATATATGAAGGAAGGGCGCCTTAGACCTAAAGCTTTCCGTGGAGCAAGGAGTGGAAAAGGACTCTACCAATTTAAAGCCGTAGTAACTTACTAATTAACTTAATTTAAAACAACTAAAAGTGAATTTTAAAGTATAAATATTAATTATAATAAACCCCCGCGAATATTTTATTAAACCTAATGTTTAACGTTTACTGCAAACATAGTGTAATTCTGGATGTTGCTGAGAGAGAGAGACTAATGAACCTTACGTAATTAAGTATCACTTTATCTTAACTCATCGCGAAGTAATATGTTAAGCAAGTGTTAAAGTTGAATAAAAAGCTTTTTATATATATTGATATAACAGTTTGTTATAGATAATAAAGCGGTAAGGTGCTGTGAATTTTTAACCTTACTTATATATCGTTGATGAATAAACCTCATTACTTAGGCATTTACTAACGATAACTTATTGCTTAATGCTTACAGCAAACAGGTTAGCGTAATTCCGGGTGATGCTGAGAGAGAAGAATTTTCAAATTCCCCTTCTCCGTAAGTTTAATTAAAAATAAGCTAATTATGTATCGCAGTTCAATATAATTACTCTTAATAAGACTACTCTCTGATTAATAAATTGCACATTTTAATTTTAAAAATAATAATTTATCTATTTTTAATATTTTTTTCACGTTTGAGAGTATTCAATACCAAAAATTGGTCGTATACTGTTTTTTAAGCGCTATAATTGTAGTCTTACTAAATTACTTATTTCAAACGTATCTTATGCTAATAATAAATATGAACTGAATATTTTTAAACTTATCATTGTTGTAGAGGTACCATATGAATCTTTTTATTTTACAGTCAACATAAATATGGGCCAACTTATTATTTTTCTTTAACTTAAGAGAGCACGTTAGAAAATACGTACTTCTGTCAAACTCTTCCAATAACACTTAATAACCCATTTAGTTATTCACATTCTAATTTCTTTTTTTATTATTATATTAACTATTTACATCTATAACCTGTTTGCTTCGGTAACCAAAAAAAAGTTGTGACGTCATAACTTAACGTTTCTGAAAGTTTATTTTTAAGCTTATTATAAATAAAATGCCTACTTACTAAATAAAGTAAAATTGTAATTACAAATATTTTTATTGCTAATAATTTTAAATTTAATATTTTAATTTATAATAGTAGTGGCCATAGTACACCCTTGGATCACTAAAAAAAATGGTACGGAGGCTGAAAAGTTAAACGTTGGTGACGAAGTATCAAAATTTAATAAAGTTTAACTTATTAAAGCCCAAAAAATTGCTTAGTAATGTTTATAGTTTTATAAAGTGGTTTATCTCGAAAGAAGTAATCATAGTAAATTCAATAGATAAAATTGGCTAGTCTTTCTAACTTCCAAAAAGAATATTAACTACAAGTTAACTTTTTCAAAAAAAGAATTTGCAACTAGTAATTTAGTTTCCGTTAACTTTTTCAGTTTATTAAAACAATGAACAACGAACAATTTTATATCTACACATTAAAAACTTCATTTCCTTTTTCAAAGTATAAGTTTTCAAGTTTATTATAACTTTATTTACGGCGCTAATCATAAAGTGAGGTGAGCTGTTACTTTTAAATTTTATAGAAATATTTAGATTGATCTTAGCAAGTATACAAAGTTTTTATGTTTTTTAAGAAGGCATTTTATATTTGCTGGATATAATTGTAGTACAAATATTAATGTAATTGGGTGTATGAGCCCAGTTTCATGATGTATTTAATAATAAATGGAAATCTCTTTTAATTGAATCCGCGAACCACTAGTTAGCTTTCCCTTTTTAGACCAAGATTTTTAAAGTTAATAGAAAGTTTTCATTATTTTTTTTTCAAGTCTAATTTACTACTACAGTCATAAAGTGTACAGTTACTACAGTCGTAAAGTATACAGTTCATTTAATTAAAATTATTATTTGTCATTATCACATAGGTAACGCCCATGTTTTATTAATTTTAAGTTTTTAAATATGTTTTTGTAACGGGTGTGATAGTATTTCTGTGTGCCATTATGGTACGATATTCATTTGTATGGAAAACCGGAGGTATTATATTATTCTAAAATTTTTTTTTAGAATGTGTATGGGAATACTACCAGTTATATTAAAAGTTTGGATTTCTCTGTAGGTCTCCTTCACTTATTTACAAATTGTTGATTTTATAAACGCTTAGCTTTTTGTATTCATTGAGAGAAATTTTATTTGGTTCTACTAAATATTCAATAAATCGATCTAATTTTATTTAACTTTAGCTTAAATGGTGTCTTCGGCAAGCTCACTTTAATTAAACTTGATTTCAACCCTTCTCTCTAATGTTGTGTACTATTTACGAAACTTTGTTCTTTTAAGAAGGTCACTAAACTTTGGAAGAGTATTTGAAATCTCTTGTTTGATTGCCAGTTTACGCTTTTATAATGTTTGAATTAGATAAGTATTATATTTAGCCCATGGAGTATATAACATTTACTTTTTAACTTTATTAGCCCAGTTACGATACTAAACGCAAGGTGGGGGTTACTAGACAATTACTAGCTAGGAGAAATAAATTTGTTATAATTCGGTCTGCAACGTTGGATAATTTATGGGTTTGCTTTCACTTAGTAGTATACTTTTACTTATCACAATGGTTGTATAAAATGGTCAATTATTTTATATAGGTCTTTTTCGCTTTATACCTATTCCTAGACGCAAATGCCTTCGAAACGTTCTTATTTTTTCCTTATATAAATCTTTAGAACCAAGAATATTTATAAAAAAAACTTTTCAACTACACATAGTAACATCACGACAATCTCAGTTTTTAATCAAACAAAGTCATTAGATTGAAAAATTTCCAGAGGTAAGATACTCTGGCATTTCCTCGGATTTCCTTTGTTTCTTTAAATTTATAACCAAATTTACATTTATTTAATAAATAACTTGACATTTCTTATCACTGAAGAAAACCTTCTTTTAGAAGGTTATATGAACAGAGCATCTTCCCAAGTAAAGTTCAAGTCTTTGAATTGTTCATTGCCGGTAGGATAAAGAAAAGCCTGTTTCTATAAAATTTTTTTCAAGTTAATTAAAGATTTTAAAGTGTTAGTTTTTTTAACGCCGGAGTTATATAATACATTGATATCGAGTACGTACTTTGATATAAGTTCTGGTGTTTTATGATTTCTTGTTTTAGATTTGTTTATTGTTTGAACTTTTTTGATTTTATAAAAGGTACCCTTAAAACTTTTATTTTTGAGTTACGAAAAAAAAATTCGATTTATTTACTATAGGTATTATTCAATAGCGTTATTAGGGTCGAGTAAAATTTTTTCTTTTAGTGATTTATGGCCAAGTAAAGTCAAAAATATTTTATTCAAAAATAATTTTGTAAGCTATAAATCATTTAGCGATTCTAGTATCCCCCTTTTTTTTTTTTTTTTTTTTTCGATAGAATTGATTCATTTGAAATCAATTTTATTAAGTTTTACAGAATTTAATTTTTTTTTAACAATTGTCTTGCTTAATTATGTACTTAATGAAAGTAATATTAAATATATAGTTAAAAAAAAAAAATTAATTTGACAATTGGATGCTCCTCTCTTGGGGATCACGCTCAAGCCAAGCATTTACAACACGGCGTTATACTTATAAAAGCCCTCTTTTAGCAACTGCTTGAAAGATTATTCTCGAGTTATTAATTTCTCTTGTTAACTTTGCGAATAATTTTTGGCTATAATAGTTTTTACCTTCTTCAAAACAAACTGGAAGAAGTCATAAGTATTTTTAAAAGTTATAATGACGATAACGCTGTACATCAGTTTCATATAAGTTTATTTAGATTATTTTTTACCAATTTTTTGATTTATTATCTTTGTACAGATTATTTTTAGCAGTATTTTTTGTAGGTAGCTTAATTTGTTTATATAATTATATATTCTGATCTAATTACTATATTATGATCAGGAACGTTTGCCCGTATAATGCGTGATTTAGTTAAAATGATTGACCTTTGAAGCGCTTGAGCTTTTTAAAACGCTGGAGGATAATATATCAACCACTAAAAAAGCAGTTTCTTTTGTGAATTCATTAAAAAAGTTATAGTCTCTACTCGATTATTATAAACTAATTTCACTTTTATATTTTACTTTTTATTATGCGTATACCGTTATAGTTAATTATAACGTTTAATGTATTTATTACATATAGTTAACAGTTTTACTACATAGTTAAAGGAAATATGGCTCTCTTGAAAATTTATAAATATTAATTGTGACCCAGTACCATAAACTTGCGCACTTTTTTTTTCGTGCCGAATAATATGTTTATCTATTTCTCTTTTAACAAGTATTTAATTTTTCTCTTTTTTTTATTGTTTGCGAGAGGGTTTTAAAAACAAATAATACACCTATTAATAACTACAGGGAATTTATTAGTAAGGTTATGCAGGTCGGGCGTTAGTATAGTAAGTATCATAATAAAGTGTCCATTAGAAAACATTTTAAAAAATTTGAATTGTTATAATTTATTAATGTTATTCGTGTACATAAAAATAATAAATATACATGAAAAATAATAATAATATATATTGATACATATATATTTTTTGATAAATAATGGATATTGTATTAAAAAAGCTTTTGCTTATAAACTCTCGTAAATACCCGACTCAAATATTAACTAATATATTTGAAAGGTATACAAACATTACATAATATAAATATGTATTGATATGTGTAGAGTAAAAATAATATTACAATAGAATGTATATTGAAACAAGTTTGGTATTTTTTTGTATATATACTTGTTATTAAAACAAGGATATGTTTTTTTATTCTTATTGCAGTGAATTCTATAATTTTCAGTTTTGGTAGAACTGGGCTTTGTAAGTAAAGTTTTATTACTATTTTTTTTGTATATTATTAATACTTCTATAACATATTAACTTTTTTTGTTTTATCCTTCTCTCACTTTTTTTTTTATAACTGTAGTTTATTTATTATATTTCCTTATATTTGTTTCGCTAAATTTTATTCGCCTGCTCACTCCTTATCCGGGGATAAGGGGGCCCTTGTCCTTGTTGTTAAGGCTTTTTTTTTCAATAAATAACTAGTCACGTAACTTTTAACTGTTTTGTTAAACATTAATCGTGGAAGAGTTTTTACTTTGCGTGCGATTATTAATTTAATATACATTACTAGGTTAACAGCATATATTATAATTAAAAATAATTTCATATGTATATGTTTCAAATAAAAACATTTTTTTCTAATTATTAATAAATACTTAATTTACGGTGTTTAAAATTATTTATTGATATGAAATTAAAATAATAAAGTGTGAAGCAAGTAACTTACGCCAAAAAATTATGTAAGTATCACTGTTATAAATAACTTTTTATGTATTTTATTTTTTTTAATTACATTTTTCTTCCTCTGCTTTATATATAATTTTTTCTCCTGACTTCTTACAACTTTCTTGTTTTATTATATATTTACAAGGTTGAAATTATTAGACCTCCTTTGAACTTTTCTTTACAACATTCACGATTTTTTCTTCGTCTACTTTTTATAAACCTTTGTCACAATATTTCTATTTTTCAACAAAGTTATTTCAGTATTTACTTTAAGCATGGTCGCGCCTGGACTTTAGAGTTTTTTATTAATAAAAGCATCAAAAATATTATAAACAAATATCTGCTCTTCGTAGGGGTGGTGAAAGACCTCGTTGCTCGAATAAGAGATCCTAATGAGAAGACTCCTAAGCCACATTTGTGCATAAACAGGCTTAACGTGTTAGCTACCGTCTACTTCTCCCTTGGATACTATTCATCTGCGTTAGGGCTTTACCAACAATTCTTTGGGTCTCTTACTAAAAAACGCCTTGCAAAGTTTCCGTTTGTTGAGAATAAGCAAGACAATGTTGTTTAAACTATTATTATTACCCTTTTCAATAAATAAACTAATGCTATTTATTAGGTGGTAGACATAATTGTGAAATTTAGAAAGAAGTGTTTTAATATTACTCCGGTAACTGTATTTTATACATTTATGAACGGCTGTTTCAGTAATATAAAATTAGAGGAAGCATTGTTTTTCTATAATGAAATGAAGAGACTTCAAGTTTTTTATACTTTTTTATATTTTAAATAATATAATTTTAAGCAATTTAAAAAAATTAATTTTTTTTTTTGTTAATTTAAATGTTATTATATTAATGAAATTCTATAACAGTACTTAG